CAAGGGCAACATAGTTAACAGTGTTACAGGGATATATTTTTATTTTGATATTATACGGAAAGAAAGAATAAGTCAAGCTGGAGGGTCAACACTTTTTTTTCTTAGTTGATTTCTTGATTAAATTCGAGGAGCCGATCCGAGTGAATGGATATCGATTTCACGGTGCTGATAATTGAATTATCCATGGTACTGCTGTTGTGAATTTTCTAATCGATTGATTGTATGCGAACACTCTGATGAAAAACATCTGTAGCACAACGGTAGAAAATAAATTAACTGAAAGTCCCGTGTTACTAGTCGATTGTATCGTTTTTATGATCTCAGTTAAAAAAAGATCGATTACATTTACCGGCAACCAAACTTGTATATAATTGTATGTATTTATTAGATTTTTAAACAGTTTTTAATAAAATTTTTTTTCTGACAGCATGATGCATTACTTTTGTTGAAAATTGTTTTATTTTTTTTTTCACTACTGAATGTAATACAACACTTAAATGATTTTTTGAATAGATATGTATTATTTCCTAAATATTTTTTTCAAAACGTAATGCACTATTTTTTTATANAACTTTATTATTGTTTTTCTTTAAAATTGTAATACATTGTTTTTGATAAAAAAAAATACATTATGTATTGTGTTATGAGTAGCAATAAAAGAAACTTTATTTCAGCATAAATAATACATTAAATTATTGAATTTTAGCAGAAAATTATGTTACCAAAAATTTGAAAAATTATAGGCACCCAAGTCTATTTATAGTATATCTATTAACATTTCAACAAAAAAATTAAATAACGTATCATCTCAAAGATACATTACGAAAACGTATTATCTCAAAATGTATTTTAAAATCCATAATCACAAAAATACACAATATTTTAAAAGCACATCAGCTCGGAAAAAATTTTGAGAAACGTGTCATTACAAATTATTCCCGATTACATACGTTTTCAAAAATTTTTTGACGTTTTACATTTTTCAATACATTTGTGAGATGTTAAAATGTTTTCCAATACTTTTTTGAGGTACTACATTTTTACGGCGCATTTTGGAAATAATACATCCTTCAACTCAGGTACCAATTAAAAAACTTTATTGCTTAAATTGACATATGTGTTGAGTGACGTTAAGTAAGTAATGTTGAATGAAGCAAACAAAAAAGCCTTTGCCTAGTGACAACAGGTCTATTGAGGAAGTATCAGAAATGAAATTATAGAATTTGGCATGACTATTATATTAATATAATAAAAAACAAGGAAACAATACGAGAATAGCTCGAGACAAGGGTTTTTGTATAGGATTTCTCGTGTACCATCACTCGCGTACACGTGAATACACATACATATATGAGCAGCAGCACTTTAACCGAAGCTCTCTCGTGAGAGTTGTTGCAACTACACGACACGAAGGCTTATGGCTATCCCTCTGGAGCATCACGAGCTCTTCTCGACGTCGTCGTCTTGGTTCGCTGACACCGTCTTTCGGCCTTAATTCTCCTCTCTTCTCGCTTAGCTTTGCTTCCTCGGCTCTTCCTCTTCTTCTTCTGGGCAGTGAGACCGACCGAGGTGATGATAATGATGATGCCTCGGTGGATGGGCATAGTATAACATATTACAAGGAAAGAGACAAAGAGAAGATCACGACGTTACATGGGTGTACTGTGTGGCAGGTATATTTTTTCACTCGTATGTGCACACGTGTGTGATGGACGCTAGTTGAGAAAAGCTGCTCTGCTGTACGGCTTTAATAATAAAGGATGACTGCAATTTTTATGTTCAATTTTTTTTTTTTTTTTCCATTGG